TATCATCATGTGCCGGCTTCCGCACGACGCAAGCTTTGTGTGCCATGCGGTATGCAGAATGGGTACGCAACTGCACTCCAGGTGTGCGGGGATTCGTGCTCCCAGGTGCGTCCATGTGCACACCAGGTGTGCGGAAAAGGGTAACCCCTTCACGATCAACCTGATTCGATGACGCGTCATCACGGGAATGTCCATGATCATGGGCGGATGTAAGTGCATGCGCATACTGCACCACAAGCACTCCATCCACGTTCTTGCCAAGTCCAATCCGCACACTCTCCTCTCCATGAGTCATGGTGATCTCGGTGTCTCCATTAGTAATGGTATTGATGTGCGCTCCCTTTTTCAGCAGCTGACAATAGGAGAGCAGGTTGCTCTTCAGACCAGGTACGTAAAGGACTTCAGTGTAGCGAACCGTTGTCCCATCAGGTGCCGTTGCTCTGATCGTTCCCATCATCGTGCTGCTCAGCTCGCTCCCATCAGCAAGCTCCACATAAACAGGTTCGTCCAGCTCCCTTAACTCTTCAAACCAGCGCTTGTTCGAGGTCATGTGCTGGCTGCTTCCACTATCTAGCATCCAAGATGACGCTTTAGCTGGTGGTAAGGTAGCTTGTGACGATCCCACCGTTGCAATGCACATAACAGTACGTTGCTTGTCTTCCCCGGCTGCCCCTTGCTGTTTTGACACATCGTTGTCACGCTTAGGGCTGCCACTCTTTCGTGGGGAGAACGAACGACTCTCGCCGGTGTGCAGTTTTGACCTTCTGGTATGCGGTTTTGACCTTCTGGTATGCGGTTCCCACCCTGGTGGTGACCAGCCAGGGGGTGCCTTGGTACACTTGAAGAAGGGGTGGCCGACCTCCTTGCAGTACCAACACACAAGAGGTGAGCGACCCGCACTTCCTTCCTTGCCTTGCATTTTCTCCCCAGCGAATTCTTCCTTGTTCCTGGTGCTGCCCTTAGCAGTTGGAGAAGGTGAGCGATCTCCGCGCGCTTGTCCAGCCATGTGAGGTGGACGCCGGTCATGGTTAGCCTTCGTGATGAGGTCGTGATACCTCTGCTCCTGAATCATCATCCGTTGCAAGGTGAAGCTGTCCGTCACGTTGTGTAGCATTCCCGAGTGCCTCATCTCCTCCCAATGCGCTGGTAGTCCGGTGAGCAGATTTAAGGTGAATGTGTCCTCATCCACCATCTTCCCCGCAAGTGCTAACTTGTCCCGGATTGCCGTTGCGCGGTTCACGTACTCTTCCACCCTCTCTTGTCTCTCCATTTTCAGGTTGTCCAACTGCTTCAAGAGAGAGACCTTCGCCACCGAATCTTTGGCCTGGTAAGTATCCATTAAGTACTCCCATGCTTCATATGCTGGGCTATAGGATTCTTGGAACATGTCCAGCTGTATCTGAATCGTGGCGCTCACGCTGTGCAGTAGGACCCAAAAAGCGAGCGCCGCACGTTGTGAGTAATCCGCCTGTAGCATTTCCAGCCGCTCCATAGCGTCGTTAATGTCACCATCTCCCATGGTAACCGGATACTCCAGGGTCACAAAGAACTCCCACAGATTCGTGACGCGAGCGTTCATACGAAACCGTAGCGCCCACTCCCGGAAGTTCGAGCCATCAAACGGAGTAGTGGTGAACGCTTTGTCCACCGTTGCTCCCACCATTTTGCGTGACACTCGTTCCTTGTCATCTTCCGTGTATTCACGTGGAGCGGGGTCGAAGAGAGTACGCACGGCTGACGGTCGAGGTAGCTGAACCGTGCGCTGCATGTCCCCATTCTGTCCACCATGCTGACGTTCCAGCACTTCCACTTGATCCCGTCGCATGACACCACTTGTCTGCATTCCGTATCCCATCCGCCCCATGCTGTCCACATAGTGTGCGCCTATCGATCGACGAGGTGCACACAGAGGTATGACATTGCCGTTATGAAGGTGAGACCTGGCCATGGGAGGAGCTCCAATGGGATGGGAGTTAGTCGCAAGTTGTCGTAGTGGGGGAGCACCAATAGTGTAGGAGGCAAAACCCACACCTTCCACGCCCACTTCCGTCACCCTGCTGCCCAATCTGTCCACTTCTCACTCGACCATGCACTGCACTCCCATACTCATCATTCCTCCCCCGTGCTTCCCTTTGCATGGATGACTGAGGTGCAGGATTGGCCTTCTCCTCTCCTTGGACGGATACATCCATCCCTTGGGATGACTCTCCTCCTTGAGGTATGCCCATTTCCACTTCACCATCAATTCCTCCATGAACATTTGCACAAGTTTGGTTAGCACGTGGAGTGCTTGAATGAGAGTGTCCACGGGTGGACGGATTGCTGGACTCATAAGAGAACGTTGTCCTTGGCTGGATTGTCATTCCAAACTTGTTCCTTAACGAAGCTTGGAGTGCTGGTGGTGCCCTTGCAATCATGCTTTCCAGGTGCTCATGCTGAGCCATGATGACTTCTTCAAAAGCCGCATATCCAAGATCCACTTCGCCATCGAAGTGCGCCATGACCTTGACAAAACCGTCTACCAAGTGTGCGGTAAACGCGCGGTTGTTGTCAGAGGTCCACTGGTGATCCCCGATTGATCCTAGGGAAGGGTTACAGGCATGTTGGCCTGGGGGGTTATGGGCGCACTTACCCGCTACACAAACAAGCCCTTTTATCCCAATGGTCTAGTGGTTGGGATTCTGACATGGTATTAGAGCGAATGTCTCGGGTTCGAATCCCGGTGTGTGCACTTCGGGCATCCCAGTGCGGGGGGGTGTCAGAGGTCCACTGGTGATCCCCGATTGATCCTAGGGAAGGGTTACAGGCACGTTGGCCTGGGGGGTTATGGGCGCACTTACCCGCTACACAAACAAGCCCTTTTATCCCAATGGTCTAGTGGTTGGGATTCTGACAGTTGTAACCAACAGCGAACACCAGGTGTACGAAAGCGTAGACCGGGTGTGCGGTACTCTGACTGTATGCAGGTACCTATCCAAACTGTATGACAGTAAATTCATGAACCAGTTTTGGCAGCATGCCCCCTAGAATAGCTCTGATACCATGCTAGAAAGGCATAGTGCCAGCGTAGCGGAAACGTGTTTGTAGAAAAGAACAAGATAGAAATCTTGCATTGATCATTGAAAAGTAGAAGGATGACACAATGATGACTCAATGATGTGACACAGCAGGGTATATATGCATCCAGCTACCCCTCTAGAATGACCCATTCACACCAATAATGGTGTACCAATAATTGTACCCTCTACCCTCCAATAATGCTAGGCTCCAATAATTGTGGCCCCTACAATAATTGTGACAATTATTGTAGAACCTGAAGGCTTATAAAGATGACTACACTAAAACGAAACAGCACACTGGTATACAGTATTCGTTATACTGTATTCGGATTTCGAACTAGGAAACCTAAAAGTGTTGTAAGGTGGGTACAAGTAGGAAAACCTAAAAGTGTTCTACCCCATAGGAACTACCCCACTACAGCCTAAATAGAATATAGCATATAAGTTTGACAGGAGTTATGCGTTTAGGGTTGATGTCTCCCTCGGATGGCATGCCATCCGATGGGGTTTTTTTTTTTTTTCTTCCTGGGGGCAGCAGTTTGAAGGAGGTCAACAGGTAGACGGAGGGTCGACGGAGCCGTCGACCCATTTCCGTTGAGATATGCCTTACATATGGTATGTATTTTTCAAAATACGTACTTTTCTATTCTCACCGTGCCATTCCTGTGACTCTCTACACCGCCCCCCACTCCTCAGACCCACCGCTGCCTGCTGGCTGCTTTCACCTTCATTCCCGCCATCGCAGGAGCAGTGAGCGCATCTGTGCGCGCGGCTCGCCTTTTTCACGTTTTACTCCGCGCGCTGCGGGGTTCAATAGCCTCGTTTCCTGTTCGAAGCGCGCCGCAGTGCCGTGGGCACGATTTCGACGTTGACTCCGCTTCCTTGCGGAACTCAACTCGCACGCTATTCCCCCGCGCCGCGCAGCCAGTCCCGCCCCCCTCTGCGCCCCGCCCGCCATGTGACAAGTACACCCTGTACCTGTCAACTCCGCGGACATTCGCTTGCGCTCATCCTCAACACCCCCACCAGTCCCTGCCGCCCATCGCCCGTTCCTTCCGCTTATCGCTCCCGCTTCTCCCCTTGTCTCCTCCCATCGCCGCCACCCACCCCTCCTGCCTTCCGCCGCGCCCGTTTCTGAATTCCTTGCGTTCCGTTCATTCCGCGCATTCCGCGCGCTTCTCTCCCCGCCCGGCCCCCACCCTCGCTAGTTCCTGCGCGCTAGTTTCCTCTCCTCCCGCCTGCGCTGATCCGTCCCTCTTCTCGATCGCCCCTCCCTGTAGCAGCAGCAGCGGTCGTCAAGCCATGCGGCAGCCGTCCGTGCATTGAGCGCCAGCGGTGAGGTGCACATCCTCACCCAAGCTGTAGTAGCGCCTGTGGCCGGGCCGGGCTTACACAAAGGGTTGAAAGGCATCCGTTGCGCCTCTATAACGCCCTCGTTCTGACCCAGTGGTATATCGGGGTGTTATACAAGCATACTGAGCCCTCCCTCCCCTCCCTCTCCTCCCTCCGCTCCCTCATCGCCCTCCCGCCGTCCTATCTTTTTTCCTGGACCATTGTACCAGCACGCAACCCACGCCATGGACGCGCGTATCGCCGCCCACCGCTTCACACCGCTGCTCACCGCTGCGCGCACCGCTGCTCACCCTTGCTCACGGCCTTCAAGATGCTGAAAGGTGCAATTGCTATCTCACTTGGGAACCTCAAGGAGCCACGAGCATGGCAGGCGCGCACACTCGTGTGGAGGCAGCACTGGGAGTTGGAGAAGCGGCGGCAGGGCCTTGGGGTTTTGAGACGTCTCAAAGCGCGCACAGTCACGTGGAGGCAGCACTGGGAGTGCAAGGAGTTGGAGAAGCCGCAGGGCCGCCTTGGCCTCCCGACAGCCTGCATCACTCTGCTCGTTTCCAGGCTGATAGGCAACAAGGAGGGCCGTCTCAGCAGCACATGCAGCCGGTGCACCATGGGCGGCTGTTAAGGCGTGAGGGGGTGCTTCATCTGTGTCGGTTGCTGCTGCTTGCAGCGTGGGCAGCGGCGTGCATTGCCGGTGCATGGGGGCTGGCTGGGGACCACCGCGGCCTCAGAGGTACGCCCTCCTGCTGTGCTGGTGCTGAGTGCCGTTGAGTGCTGCTGCTGAGGGCTGCTGAGTGCTGCTGAGTAGTGCTGAATAGTTTGAGTGGTGCTGAATAGTTTGAGTGGTGCTGAATGGTGCTGAGTGGTCTGCCTCACAAACCCCTAAACCGATTTTTAAGGCTCCTGGTAAGGAGTTGAGAAGCAAGGGCTTTGTCAATAAGATGTGATGCAGAGCGGTGCTGACTGGTCCGCCTCACGAGCCCCTCTCGCCTCCAACGCTTCCCGTGCACCACCATTACACCACTCCCACACCACCCCCACACCACCCTCACACCACCCCCACACCACCCTCACACCACCCCCACACCACCCCCACACCACCCCCACACCACCCCCACACCACCCCCACACCACCCTCACACCACCCCTACACCACCCCACACCACCCCCACACCACCCTCACACCAGCCCCACACCAGCCCCACACCACCCTCACATCACACCACCCCCACACCACCCCCACACCACCCCCACACCACCCGCACACCACCCCCACACCACCCCCACACCACCCTCACACCACCCTCACACCACCTTCACACCACCTTCGCACCACCTTCACACCACCCTCACACCACCCTCACACCACCCTCACACCACCTTCACACCACCTTCACACCACCCTCACACCACCCTCACACCACCCTCACACCACCCCCACACCACCTCACACCACCCTCGCACCACTCTCGCACCACCCTCATTCCACTCTTACCCCACCCTCGTGCCACCCTCACACGACCTTGCGTCACATCACTCTCACATCACCCTCACACCACACCTCGCACCAGCCTCACACCCCCCTTCATCTCCCCGCCCCCCCCCCAAACCCCCCTTCACCCCACCTCACGCCCCTCTCTCTCTCCCGCTCCCCCCCCCTCTCCCAGACTGTACGGACATCTTGGCAGCAGGAGTGGCTCTCACGCCCACCACCGACACACACACCGCACCTGCCACCTCCGTGCCCCCCTCCTCCACCGCCAACTCGAATAGCACCTTCTTGAATTTCACCTCCCCCACTGTAGATGGCACCTCCCCCAACTCTACTGCCAGCAGCAGCAGGGCGGGCGAGTGGGGGCACCACCGGCGGTACGAGCGGCGGGCGGGGCAGTGCTGGAGCCGGGCGGAGCTGCCTTGCTATGTGGGCATCAGCAGGCACACACGGGTGCAGCAAGAGCAACAACAAAGCAAAGAAAGCACGGGGGACATTTTTTCCCCCGAGGGAGCTGGGCAGAACGAACAGCAGCAGCATGGGATGTCGGAGCAGCTGCAGGTGAAGCTGCGGCAGTACCACACGTACCGCCGCGAGTGCCTCCACCGCGAGCCCCTCCACCACCTGCGCTCCACCCTGCTCGCCGGCAAGCCCACCGCCTGCCGCTACCTTGTCTTCTACCACCCGTCTGACGGCCAGGGCAACCGCCTCATCTCCCTCGTCTCCGCCTTTGCCTACGCGCTGCTGACCGATCGGATCTTCCTGTTGAGCTCTAAGAGTGGGCCCGCTGCCGTGCTGTGCGAACCGTTTGAGCACGGCGAGTCGTGGGTGCTGTTTGGGCGCGAGGAGAAGTTGGAGGAGCATCATGCGCAGGTGCTGGCGCTGAAGGTGGCGAGGGAGTGGAGGGAGGTGAGGGAGGGGAGGGAGAAGAAGGGGAAGAAGGGAGGTGGGCGGAGGAGGCTGGTGGAAGGTTTGGTGCAGAGGCAAGAGCAGTGGTTAGGGGAGTGGCAAATGCAGTTGGGAAGGCAGCAGCGTTTGCTGCAAAACATCAATCCAAACACGCCAGCACCACCATCACCACCAACAGCCCTGCCACCACCACCACCACCTACAGCGCCACCACCGCCACCACCACCACCACTAGCACCAACAACAGTTTCTACACCCACCTCTCCTATGTTTCCTCCCCCAATGCCTCCATCATTTCAACCCCCACCCTTACCTCCCCCTCCCCCTCCCCCTCCACCCCCACTCCCACCGATTCTTCCCATGCCAACCCCACCACTGCCACCCACTGCACTGCCACCACAAGCATCATCACTGTCACTACCAACGCCACCAACACCACCAACGCCATTTCCAACGCCACCACCAGCAGAGGCAGCAGCAGCACCCCCACCACCCCCACCCTTACCCTCTCCGCCTCCCCCCCCACCATTCGAAACGCCAGCAGAAGGGGAGGACGAAATACCACCAATGTATGTCATCCGTGCCAATGCCATCCTATGATGTCCCTTGGCATACCACTGTTTGTGCCATGCCATGTGTGGCATGCCCACGTGTGTGTGCCATGCCCATGTGTCTGTATGATTGCCATGACAGTTCACGGTAGTGTCATGCCATCATTTGAGGCAATGCCGTCACTCAATGCGTCACTGAATGCCATCACTCGACACCCCTCTCTTCGCGATCTTGTCTCTACGCCCCTTCTCTGCCCCTGAGTCTGACCAGTCTCCCAAAGTCCCATTTCCCTTGCTCCACCATTCCCTCCCTCATAAGTCCATTCTTTCTCGTCTCCATTCCCCTCTCGTCCCCCCCTCGTAACCCCTCGTATCTCTCTCTCAACCCCATCCTCCCCTGCTAGTCATTGAGTGGAAACCCACTCCCCTCCAGCCCTCTTCGTCTGCCTCGCAGCAGCCTCCCACACCCCCTCACTCCCCAAGTTCCCACTTACTTCCTTCCTGATTCCCCTCCAACACCCTCCCCATTCCCCCCACCCTCTCCCAGTCTAAAGGTGAACATCTTTCACACAACCTCTCGATCTGGGCAACTCTTTTTCTGCGAATTCGAGCAGCAATGGCTCTCCCGCACGCCCACGCTCCTCCTCTCCTCCAACCAGTACTTCCTCCCCGCCCTCTACCTCCTCCCCTCCTTCCGCCGCCGCCTGCTCCTCCTCTTCCCCTCCCACCAGCCCTTCCGCTCCCTCTCCCGCCTCCTCCTCTTCCCCCGCAACCGCATCTGGGCGCAACTCACCCACCGCTTCCACTCCCTCATCGCCCCCGCGCCCGCGTGCATTGGCCTGCAGGGCCGCTTCCCCACGCACGCGAACGAAGGTCGACTGCGGTACGACACGATGAACATGGGTCGATGCCTGTTGGATGCTCTCAACTCGTCGGTCCTGCAGGAGGCAAGGGAGATGAGGCTTGGGGCGGATTGGGAAGAGGGCGGGCGATGGAGGGGGGTGGTGGAGGGGGCTGGGGCAGCGGAAGGAGGGGAGTTAGGGAGAGTTTTCACAAGCAGTGGCAGCAGTAGCAGCAACAGCAGTAGCAGCGACGGCAGTGGGGATGACTATGGGTTAGAGGGGTTGTCAGGGAATGTGACAGAGGTGATGGTGGCATCTTTGAACGCTGCTCTAGTGCATAACCTGTCAGTGGCAGTGACAGGCAACATGAGTGCAGTGCGAGTGAGTGTGGGGCACGACGCCACACATGCTGCCATGGGTGTTATACTACCGCCCATTAACAGCAATGCTGCTTCTCCTGCTCTTCCTGCTGCTGCTCCTGCGCCCATGTCTCCAGATGTAGCCAACAGCAGCAGCAGCAACGGCGCATCCGACACCCACGTCCACATAGTCCGGCTAACGATTGATGAGAAGCAGAACAATGGCGATAAGGCTGGTGTTGACCGAGCAATGGTGGACATCTACACTCTAGCTCTCTTCTCCGACGCCCTCATCATCTCCGAGGTCTCCACCTTTGGCTACCTCTGCGCCTCGCTCTTTGGTGTGCCCCGCACCACGTTCGTCAGTGCCACGTGCAAGCGAGCGCCGCCTGAGCCGTGCTTGCACTTCCCACCGGGGAACGAGCGGTGCCCGGATGGCCAGGCACAGGTGCTAGAGCAGGCGTTGGCTGCAGACCCGCATGTGCCGCTCATGCACTGCGTGGATGTGAGAAATGGGCTCACATTGAAGCCTCTTGAAGGATGGGAATAGGCCTTCTGAGTAGGGTAGGATCTGGATAAGCTTGCGCGTGAAGTGTCGCTGTGCTATAATGTCGGCTAAGGGTGCATTCCGCTGTGAACACTTTCTCAAAGAAAGTGTCCGAATCACTTTTGGCCCTAGTCGCCCTCAAATGTCTCGGAACTTCATGTCCCAATCGATCGATGTACTGCGACCCACGGCGACATCTCGACAACTTTGTGTGAAGGAATGTGATTGGTCCGTTGTGTGAGTTGCCTACTCAACCTACGCGTCACATGCACCTGGGCGGAAGGTCTGCGGGCGCGAAATGATCGGGATGGTCAATAATTCAGAAGGAGCCTTGTGTGGCCAATCACGTTTCAGAGTACGCGTAGCTACTGAAATCCGTCATTGTAGAATGATGACCAGGTACATTCAGCATGGATTGACATTTGGCACCGCGTGCGATGGCTGGTGTGTGTTGAGTTGGCGTGCAATTAGCCCGCGACAGTTCCGCGTTTCACGCCACCCAATGAAAAAATACTTTTTGTGACACCCTTAGGTCTTGCAATATTATTCATTTATTCCAACTCGTAACGTGTCGGGGAATAGATTGAGCAAAAAAGGCTTGTGGAAGATTACAATATGCGAAAGATTGTGGTAAATTGCCTATTATGAGTGGAATTGAGCGAGCGAGAAAATTTTGAACTATCAAGGCAAAACAATACAATGAGCGAAGTTTTGAGCGAATTGTTGTACGGTAGCAAAATCAAAGGTAACGTAATGAGTGATCACAAAAAGCGCCCCTGGGGCCTATCGCAAAGGTTGGGAAAATGTCGAGGCATAGGACCGGGCCGCAGGTTACAAGCCGAGTCGTGTACTTTGCTCGTGACGGTGATGGTAGCGGAAACAGTTTCCAGGCGAATGACTTGAGTGTTGCAATAATTGGCTCCGCCCTTGCTTGGGCAATGCCGATTTCGCAGTCGGGTACGTTGGAGGTACAACCGGCCGACTTCCTTCAGTGGACGCCGACTTGGGGGAGGAAGTCGACGGAGTTGGTCGACGTCGGCGGGACCACTGCGATGGCGCGGACGAGGCGAAGTCGGCTGACGGCTTCGGCACGGGCGGTTGACGAAGGCGTTCGTCGACCAGATGTCAAGTCGACACCAACTTAATGGCCTTTTCTGGTCGGCCATGTAACCTGGTCGACGAAGTTATGCGGAAATGCGCGAACTTTGCCCCGATAGATTTTGGCGGAGTCGACCTGCGTGGCGACATCATGTGGTCGACATGGTGCACCTAAGCAATCATCGACATATGGTCGACCCGGGACCGGCGCAACGTGCGTGACAGTGCACGACGTGCTTAACTAACTACCTGCACCTGCTTGGTAGGTGCGCACATGTGCGCACGTGCTGACCTGCTGTTGAAATGATGGCAAGCCTCCTTGCTGCAGCGTTGTCAAGCCACCCTGGTACTACGTTGGCAAGTCGTCGACTTTCAGTGTTGTCAAGCCGCCTTTCACCTGCATAGGCACGCCGCTGACGTGCGGAGTTGGCAAGCTGCCTTTGTGCTGCGCTAGAAGTCGACTTGAAAGTGTCGGGTTGCTAGTACATTTCTGCTGTATTCAATTTGCCATTGCGATTGTCATTGTTGTTCACAACTTTCAAAGTGAAACTCTTGCCAATTCGCCCCATGAACACAGGAAGTAGAGAGAAGACACGCAACACTACAGTCACCCGTACAACCCTGTAGCCTCCGACGAAGGCTAGCTACCACCGTTGTAGAGTGACTCTCGGCATGGTGCGATGAGCGTGGACGGTCCCGCAATAGACCTTCAGAATAAGCCAACTTTGCGCATCACCTAAGATGTTGTTAGGCCGACGCCATGGTTGAATTTGTTGTCGAGGCAGGCGTAGAGGATACCCTGCGGACGAGAGAGACTCATGTTCGGGCATGCCACCAAGCTGGCGAGTTTGGCGCAGCGAGTATGGAGGTGCTCCTCCTATGCTTTCGTGTGGGCGCGCGGGCATCCCCCTCCCCAACCTGAAGTGGACGATGTCGAAATATGTTTGTCATATTTTATAACTGCTTGTAGTTGTAGTGTAGTTATTGTACTTTGTAGGTGGTGCACCAACTTTGTTTTCTATGCTATATGTTCCTTGAAACCTATAGTGAAACCTCATTCTCCAATTTCTCTCTTCCAACTCACTCGATACCTCGCCTAGGAGAAACCCGCTCGATATCCTACTTGGGCCTAGGCTACTAAGCCTAGGCCCTACTTAATCTTAACTCATTCTCGTTCAACTCTCGACATGTTATCAGAGCGACGTTCGTTCTGGCCTCACGTTTCCGCTGCTACGATTTTCTGGTCGCGCGCCTAGGGCGCGTGATGAATTTTTCCTTGTCCCGCCCCCGGTTGGCGTGTGACGCCTTTTCTGCCCGTCGCGCGCCCCGTGGCACGCGACGGTGCCCTTAACCTGCCCATCGTGCGCCCCGTGGCACACGATGGTGCCCTGCTCGTCGTGCGCCCCGAGGCACACGATCGGGCCCTTGCTCTTATCTTACCCGTCGTGCGCCCCGTGGCACTAGCACGCGACGGGCCTTTCCGCCCCTGCTCTCCCTGAAGCCGCCCCTGATCCATCTGCGCCGACACCGTTTAGCCGCTCTGCGGCTTTCTTCCCGCCCACCCCCCTCCTCCTTTGTCTCCCTGCAGCCGTGGGGAGGAGGGTATGGGGGTGGCGGGTGTTGGAGTGTTGGGTCAACTCTCTCCCTTCCCCTCCTCCTTCTTTCAGTCCCACCGCTGCAGCTGCCGCTGGGGGGGGAGGGTGTGAGGATGTGGGGGAGCAGGGGGAGTGGTACCGGGGTGGCGGGTGTGAGGCAACAAGCAGCCGTCCCTCCACCTCTCCTCTCTTCCCCCCCTCTCTGCTGCTCCTGCAGCAGTGTGGGGGAAGGGAAGGAGGAGGGTGAGGAGATGGAGGGGGTAACTATTTAATGTTAGCCCGCCTGCAGTACCTGCTGTTGCTTGTGATTATTTTGCATGGTGTACCCCCTCAGGGGGCGTAACTACATTTCTACCTACAAGCATTATGGGGGCGTGTCGAAATATGTTTGTCATATTTTATAACTGCTTGTAGTTGTAGTGTAGTTATTGTACTTTGTAGGTGGTGCACCAACTTTGTTTTCTATGCTATATGTTCCTTGAAACCTATAGTGAAACCTCATTCTCCAATTTCTCTCTTCCAACTCACTCGATACCTCGCCTAGGAGAAACCCGCTCGATATCCTACTTGGGCCTAGGCTACTAAGCCTAGGCCCTACTTAATCTTAACTCATTCTCGTTCAACTCTCGACAGACGATGCGTCCACCTCTCCCCGACCTGGAAGCAACGAGGGTGGCGGCAACAACGTTAGCGAAGGAGGCACGAGGGTGACGCGTAGTGTGATTTGGGCCGCCGACGTCGGCGTCGGTGGAATGCATGCGCGGGTATTGCAGTCGGGGGCTGCGGTCAGCTTGCAAGACGACGTCGATGGTCGACGTCGATCTCTCCAGTGAAGCGGATCCGGACCAACTTCGGCGACCTACATTTCAGCCGGCTAGGACAGCGGCATCGCTCCGACCTACGGCTACTTCAAGTTCTCATCGAACAAGTGCTGGAAGATCGACATGACCTTATCACGTGGATGGAGTCGATTGAGCCGAAGCTGGAGATCATGGGCCCGAAGAAGTTCGTCATGGGAGCGCTGTACAAAGACGACGCCGAAGATGGAGATCATGGGCCCGAAGAAGTTCGTCAATGGACGGAATGCTGCGCCGCCCACCTGCTGACTTTCTTGGTCATTTTCGCGGTGTTGCTCGTTGATGGTGCAAGCTGCTTTGTAGCCTTGCCGACTTCGAATGAACGTTGGCTTCGAGGCGTGGGAGTTTATCATGTAGGCC